AGAGAGAGAGAGAGAGAGAGAGAAAGAATCCCAAGCAAGCTCTGCATTGTCAGCAGGGAGCCCAAAGCAAGGCTTGAACCCACGAACAAGGAGATCGTGACCTGAGCCAAAACCAAGAGCTAAACACTTAACTGACTGGGCCACCCAGGCAGGCCAAAAGAGCTTTCTTTTAGAATGTATTCCTATTTTACAGACATGAAAAGGGTAAGCAATTTGCCCAAGTTCAACAAACTAGAAAGTGGCAGAGCTTATATTCAAAACAAGACTCTGAGACTGCACTCTCTCCCTTTGTAGTGTATGACTTCCTAATGTGAAAGTGATATATTAACTAACATTGCAATTTTCATAAAGAATTTCACACTCATTTAAAGACCTTATTTTTCTTGAGTAAAGACTGTGGGCCACAGATACTAAAAGACTCTGATCAAGAGTGTAAAGATGTGAAGATGTTAATTTACTAAGTAAACAATTTTTCCTTCACATTATTTTATAGGAATCTACCGTTAAATTCAAAGTTTTATCTCTATTTCTCACATGTATAAATTACTATACTTAGTAGTATTGGGTGGGAAAGTGTTCTTAAAATCAGAAGACCTGGACAAGTCTTTTTGTTTTGTTTTGTTTTGTTTTGAATATTTATTTTTGAGAGGGAGAGAAAGAGGGAGGGAGGGAGGGGCAGAGAGAGGCAGGGACAGAGGATCCAAAGCAAGCTCTGTGCTGACAGCAGCAAGCCCAATGCAAGGCTCAGACTCAAGAACCATGAGATCATGACCTAAGCTGAAGTTGGATGCTTAACCAACTGAGTCAAGATGCCCCAAGAAGACCTGGACAAGTTTTTATGGTGCAAAACGTGCTCAATTTGTAGCTTTTATTATCTCCATTCCTTAGTTACACCATCTGTAATTTGGAGATGAGAATAAAAATGCCTGCTTTATCTTCCTAATAGAATTATGAGAATCATCTAATAAGAAGCTATATGTCAGCACAGAGTCCAATGCAGGGCTTGAAGCACTTGAACCCACAAAAGAAAGAGCTTTCTTTTAGAATTTATTCCTGTTTAGCCTATTTTAGCCTATTACATGAATGGTTTCTTTTGTTGCTGTATTAATGCAACCAGATCTTTTAAAGATCTAATTCCAAAAAATTACTTGCAGTACACATAATCCTGTCCACTTCTCCAGAAGTTATCCCTGGTTCATTATCTTGATGTTTATATGCAGTCTATATGTAGATTTGTGCTTATGTAGATATGTTTGTGCTTAGAAAAAAGGCTAGAAGATCATAAATCAAGATGGTAACTGTGGTTCTCTTTAGAAAAGAAAATCATTAAGTAATTGTTTCTCTACTGGATTAAAGTTTTCAAATTTTTCTGCTATACAGAGCAATTACTTGCAGAGTGATTTTTAACAAAAAAAAATTTTAGTGTATTTTATTTTATCCTGACTTTATTTTACATATAAGAACAGGGACTACATTCTCGTATGATTTATAAAAGGGCGACTTATCTAGCGTCACAGAATTAATTTCCAAGTAGCATCACACATGTGTACCAATCTCAAATCCTCTCTCCTAGAAGTATTAAAGACCCTAAGAGATGTGGGTTTATGAACAAGTTAGAGGTTAAGATGAAAAGGAAAAATACTTTTGGGGGAGATGTCACTGGATTAGAAAACAGTTTTAGAATTCACGCATCTTAAATAAAATTCAGAATTATGTGTATACCAGGGTCACCAGATAATTTTTTCATTCATTAATGTAAATAGGAAATGAATAAGAAATTAGCACTTACCTTTCCCAATATTTGTGATTTAGGTCCAAAAAGTCATCTAATTTTGCTATTTCCTTGAGGTACTGAGTTAATTTTAAAAGTTCCTTGTCTTTATCTCGATTTAGGTGCGCTTTCATAAAAGGCCTTATCTGTTAGGAAGCAAACATCCAACACTTCACATTACAATAAGGAAACTGGCACAAATCTACCCTACCCTCTCATTAGGATTCAGTAATGAGATTAAAATATCACTAAGAGGACTTTTGCACTGTCTCAGTGTAATAAACTGACAGTCATGCTATAATGTTCCTAATGCAAGTTAAGAGTTCTTCCACCTCATTTACCTTACGTTACCTTTTCAGTCTGAACCTGGCAACACCAGCTTTCTTACGGCACTTGAACTCTACGTGGCTTCTCTACTTTGTAAAACTGCCAGACTTTTTCCTCTTCTATCAATCCAGCTGCTTCTTACCAATTAATTCATGCCACCTAACTCATAAAATGTTAATCCAAATACAAGCTTGATCTAACAGGGGAGTGAAATAAATTTTAACAATGATGATTTCCATTTCCGTGTTTTTCTATAAAATTTTACATAGCTATTATATATTTATATAACATATTTTCTCTCGTTTTACCGCAAGTATTTTTATCATTAAAGTCCCCGTAAAAGTATTTTTAGCTCTGCAAGCGTTTTCCCATAAAAAGAAGTCATATTTTCCAGATTTTTAAGGTTGATATATTTTATGATGAAAAGCATTCATTTCAAAAGCATGAAAGTCAGGATGGTAGATAGGGTAGAGAATTGTTAACTAGTAAGGGATATTTCTATCTTGACTTGGTGGTAATTACATGTGTTATCTTTGTATCTATTTGTTAAATTATAAATTTTATGCACTTTTCTTTGTCACAGTTCCAATAAAGAGTTTTGTCTTTTTAGGTTATCAGTTCAAATATCTTTATAAAACTCAAGACAACCTTTCAACAATTTTTAATTAATTTTAGATGAAACGGTATGTCTGGGATTTGCTTTAATTACAGAGAGGGAAGTAGGTTGGGTACAGAGCAAACAATCATCTAAGAATTAATAAGTTGTTTAAACTGAATCATGCAAACACAGAAGTTCATTATATAATCCTATATAGTTCTATTTATATTTGGATTTTTCCATTTTATAAAAAATTTTTTTTAAATCATATTCTTAAAACACACATATAAGGAGAACTGAATAAATCACACTTAGTAAAGTATTAATATATCCTAATCATGATTTAGAGAAAATGCAAACTGCTTATTAGTTATTAATTTTACATAGTAAACTGAAAAACAGAGGACATTTAGTTCTGTCCCCTGTTAAGTACAATGAACCCAAAGAAGTCCATACCCTATCAAGAATAGGAAAGGTCTTAAATATTTTATATCTATCTATCTATCTATCTATATATAGAAAAGTATATAGATATATCTATATATATAGAAAAGTATATATATAGATATATCTATATATATAGAAAAGTATATATACATATATATATATACTTTTCTTCTCTGTTATTGGAAAAACACACCACCAGCTTGAAATGGTCAGAAGAAAATTTTCCCTATGTTCTACTCGCATCAGAACAGCTTGGTGTCAGGACCCCCATTAGTCAGTTAGGCTTCCACAACTTTAAGGGCACCAATCAGAGCTGTCAGGGGGAGTCTGCACAGATGGAGGCAGTTGTAGATTCTGCCCCCAAACAGGTAGAGTGGGCAGTGCTGTCTCACAGCAGCAGCTATGCATGTAGGAGATCAGGAAGATTCTCTTCAAGAATCAGACCTTGCTTAAGCCCTGGGGCTGGGAGTAAAGAGGCATGATATCAGGATGTGATGAAAGGAGTTTCTACATAATCTTGGGCAATATTATAATGTTTCAAAGTATTCCTTCATTCAAGTAAAAAAAGATAACATGCTAACTTTTAAACTATTAACATACAATGTGCCAATGTGATTCCTAGTTTAACAGTAGGAAGGGATTTTGACTAAAAGACAAAGTACAGTTTCTGTGGCTGGTAAATAAGATTTACCAAGGTCCTGCTAAGTTAGGTTGACTTTCTAAACATTTAGTCTTAAGCACTATTAAAGAGCAAAACTAAAATACTCCTATGACTCTGGATCCAAAAGTTAAACTAGTTAAGTGCAAAAAAAGTCTATTATCCACCCAACTTCACTTGATCTAGCATAATCATTTCTTTTTGTACCATTCTTCAAAAATGATCTCACTAACAGGACAGACAACATATGTGACCACTACAGTCTCATATCAAAGAAACATTTTTAGGAACTTAAGATGGTCTAGATTATCTGCATTTTCTTGTATCATCATTTCCTTGTACAAATAACAATATGAAGTTTTCAGAGTACTGATTTATCGATGACCAAAACTCAAGTTTTGTTAGTTCAGTACTGTATTTATTCATAATTCACAATGCCTTCCATATCCCATGTCAAACCTTAAGATTGGCAAGCTTATATTATAAGTTTGCTCTTTTAAAAAGAAGCAGTCTTTAAGATCTCTGTGAAATCTTTTTTGAGACTTCTATCAAGAGCATTATGAAACCATGACAACAAAACACAGTAAGAATATTTCTCAATTTCAAAACGGCTTCTATGTCAATGTGGGCAGATCATTAATAATTACCTTCTTAAAAGAGGTTTTCAAAAGGAGACATGTGAGAGATTACCTATAGAATGTTTAAAAATATCTCTCCTGAATTAAAATTTGGGCAGTTTGGAGACTTAGGTATTTTTAGGAATTCATTCAGTGATTCTACAGAGTACCTTGTTTAAAAAAATAATAATAATCCTGCTCTAAACTAACATGAAGAACTAGAAGTTTATATCATCTTTGCATCCAGAGATAAGTAGGGCCCAAATGTGGGCTGGAAAAATAAAGTTTCTTCTAAACACACATGAAACTAAGGATTATGTAATTTTTTTAAGTTAAAGCTTTCCTCAAAAATCACTCCTTGAACATCATGATGACTTCACTTCCTGTCCTGAGCAGGTATTAACCACTAGTTTCATTTGGTTTAGATCAAATGAATCTTTCCTCACGAATTTATTTCTGTACAACAGCTGGTAAACTACGCACAAGAAAAACACTTCTTCCAAAGCCTCAAACAGACACCATTTTTAAAGAGGAACATAACCACCAATCTACCTCAAGTACTTTTCATCCAAGTCAATAGCTTATATAATTGCTGCAACTCACTACTGAGATCAGCATTCTGTCTCTCAGCTATCCTCATACACTAAAGAGTACATCCAGAGTCTATAAGGAAAGCTTAATAAATGTACTTTCTTCTAAGTTTTCTCTTTTAAAGTTATCAAGAACCCAACTTGTGGAAAGGTTCAGGACTGAGAATAAAAATATCTTAGGGTTCATATTTCCATTTCAGATTGAGATTCCACTTGTATTAGTATAATATGAAGCTATCTTTTCCATTTTCACATCGTACTGACATTCAGGCAACCATAGGTACCAGAAATGTAAAGTTTCAAATTTTTCTCTTACCAATGTTATGCTGCCACCAGGATTAAATGTTACCATCATATCTACAAAACTGCATCTGACTTCATGCTAAAATCACTGGCTTAGGAATCAAGTCACTTAGACTCCAACTCAAATTCTGTCATTAACCAGTCACATACATAACTTTGGGCAAGTTACAAATTTTCTGATCCTCCGATTGTTTACATAAAGTTAAGAAGATAGACAAAATGATTGAGATTCCTAGCTCTGGCATTTTATAACTCTTAAGATCTCTACTTTTCCTGTATGAATTTTCAAAACCCTTAGTTTCAGTTTAAACAGGAAAAAATAAGCTTTTACTGCCAGCTTTCAAGCTAACATCAACTAACATCAGAAATTCTAAGATCTGTATCGCTAATAAAATGTCTGATGCTTTCACTTATGATGCTAAAAGTCAACAAAAGCCCGTATGTTGCTCCACAAAGCTGATTAAAAACACCTGGATAAATTGGCAAACTAAGAAGATATCAATGTGGGAAACAGAATGTTCAACTGTAGATGAATTTTTCTAAATATGTAAGCTTTCTTGCCTGTGACCATAATATAGGACTTCTGAAAATTTATGAAACTCAACAGTGCTAAAGTTCTACCACAAATTCCAGATTACATAAGCATAGTAAGTAAAATTATGTCTTACCTTTAATCCATTCTGTGGGTTCATTAGAAAATTTCTTCCAATGTCATCAAACATAATGGTGTTTTTTTTGCTGTAAAACTCCGAAAACTTTCCCCATATGACACCAAGAGGCTTTACCTTAGAATAAAAGTTTAGATTTAACTCAATTTTATCAGTAGTTCATCCTTTCTTAAAAGCAGAGATACCTCAAAATGCCCTGCAGAACTGCGTCAGAGCACTCGCTTTCTCCTGTAGGACGCTGATGGCTGGCTATGTGAAAGGATCACAGCTGAGATGCAACACATTTTAAAACACAATGGATCTCACAATGTTAACATCTGAAAGGTCTGTTCATGTCTACCTGACTAAACTCACTGTAAGACTTCCCATAATTTTAATGTGAAGATTGGAGGTCAAAGGAGGGGTAATTATTTAAAAAGAATCCGAAGTAATTGTCTGAGTAGTCACATGACTTCCTGAGCTAATACGTGCCCCTCAGAGCCTGAGTGTCACATGGGGTCTGTTTTCAAAATTAGAAAACCTTAATAATAAACAATGTACCTGGCTCTATTAATACAGAACTTAAATATTTTGTAGAGGAAAGAAAATTGATTCTGCCTTTAATTTAGTGGCACAGGTGCAAAACTTCTAGGGCAACTGCTTAACTTCAAACGCACTATAATTTGTAATCTCTTGCTTTTATTTCTGAGCTGTTGTTTTTACAGAAGGAGAGTAAGAAAGCACGTGACTGGGGGGAGAGGGGTAGAGGGAGAAAGATCGTCTTAAGCAGGTTCCACGCTCAGCATGGAACCTGACGTGAGGCTTGATTCCACAACCCTGGGATCATGACCTTAGCCAAAATCAAGAGCCAGATGGTCAACTGACTGAACCACCCAGACACCCCTAGTTCTGAGTTCCTTTTTTTTTTTAAGTTTATTTATTTATTTTTGAGAGAGACAGAGACAGCGTGAGCAGGGGAGGGGCAGAGAGATAGGGAGTGAAAAATAATCCCAAGCAGACTCCATGCTGTCAGCAGGGAGCCTGATGCAGGGCTTGAACTCACAAAATGTGAGATCATGACCTGAGCTGAAACCAAGAGTCGGACGCTTAACCAACTGAGCCACCCAGGCACCCCTAGTTCTGAGTTCTTAAAATAAGTCTTCAAAAAGATAATTCCTTACACATTCTTATCTGTTGGTACTTGCATATATTCTCTATAAAACCACACAAGAATGTAGGAAGAGAAGACTAACTGGCTAGAGGGCCAGGTGGGAAGAGGACTTTTCATTACATACTTTCTTATTTTTGAATATCAATTTATTATACACATTCAGAAAATTTTTTAAATAAATTAATTTTTAGAAGTACTTTTTGCTGAAGACAGGAGTCTCATTTATGGTAATATGAGATTCTATGATAATAATATTATATGAGATTAAATGGTAGTATACAAATGATGACAAAAGTTGTCATTTAAAAATATTCTTTTTTACTTTCTAGAACATATTTTAATATGGAGAAAGACTTTTTTCTTCTTAGTGTCTTAGCTACTGCAAAGAATGATACTGAAATTACTTTACTATCTAAAATACTTTAATTTTATTTGCCTTAATTACTTTTTACTATTTGTTTACTACTGAAACAGACCCCCCAAATACTTCAAGACAAAGATGGAACTGACCCAGTAAGCTAATTCTTCATTTTCTTAGCTAACAAAAAGACTTAAGAGCTCTGGTTTATGACACCCAGGGTTAGAAATCCTGCATCCTCTTAAATAGTACTGTCACTTTCTAATTACATCAAGTGCACTCTGTTCCCTAAAACATGGACTACTTTGTTCTCAATTAAATACTGCTGACTATAGGAAAAAAACATGAAAACACAAAAAAGCACACAAGAACAGTTAAAATTACTTATAATCCAATCATTACCAAGGATAATAATTAGCTATTCTGATAATACTGTATTTGCCTCCAGTCTTTTTTATAAACATCAACAGCTTTTGAGTACACAGATGTTTTGTTAAGTGGGAACCTGAACCAAGTAAGAGCTAAAAACTATTTCTAACAGTCTGCAAATACTGCCCTCTAAGTATTTTTTTCACTTTAATGACGTATCATGAAAAATTTTTCATTCACTAAATATTCTATTACATCATTCCATTACATGAACAAAAATTTTTATACCCAATTCCCTACTATTGGATATTGAGGATTTATTCACTTTTTTTTGAAGTATAATTAACATACAGTGTTTTAGTAGTTTCAAGTGTACAACACAGTGATTCAACAATTCTACACATTACTTGGTGCTCCCCACGGTAAGTGCAGTCACCATCTATATCACCATACAACGTCGTTACAACATTATTGACTATATTGCCTATGCTGTACTTTTCATCTCCATGACTTATTTATTTCATAACTGGAAGTCTGTGCCTTTTAATCTCCTTCATCTATTTCACTCATCTCCTCACCTATCTCCTCTCTGGCAACCACCAGATTTATTTTTATTTCTAATTTTTAACTATTATAAACACTACTATGTTTAACACTTCCCAAACTCATTTTAGTGTTTAGATTTTATGAATGTACTATTTTAGTACATTATAATGTTCTTCTCTTCGTGTATGAAGTATTTCCTTTATTGAATAAATTTCCATCACTTAAATAAACCTATATATGATTTCAATGATTTCAATACAGTCCCCACTAGGCTTTCCTAGTTTGCTAATAGTTCTCCCCAATTCCTACTAGTTTATGAGCTTCCCAAAGCTATAGACTATGTCTCCTCATCTCCAACAGTGCCTTCCACAATATGTTCTAGTAGGAGTTCAATAATAGGACTGGTTACTTGATGAGTAAACAAATTAAAGAACTCTAATCTTTTTAGCCCAACCTTTTCTTCGGACAGTCTTGTTGCTCTTCTCTAGGGCTACACATACATCATAGCAAAGTACATGCATTATGGTATCTGTTTTTATTTATCAAATTTTATATGGCGCGGGGCGAGTATGTTTTGGTTTGCTTCTAGTGTTTTCCTTGATGACACCTACCCTGTTTTTAGCAACACTGTGCTGCCATCATCATGGAATAATTATCCATGACCGTTGACACTCCTGCCTCAAGATCCTTAATTCTATCATTAAAATTCCAATCTATTAGCCCTACATACATCTTCCTATGTCAAACTCAACTGATGCTTTCTATCCTCTCAGATATACTTCCTAACTGTTTCTGTAGTTTATTCCATCAATATAAATACAAAAAGTACACTAGAGGGGCACCCAGTTGGCTCAGTCAATACAGCATGCAACTCTTGATCTCAGGGTTATGAGTTCAATTCCCACAATGGATGTAGAGATTAGTTACAAAAATAAAATCTTTAAAAAAAAAAAAAAAGGTACGCTAGAAAATAAGTCTTTATACAGAAGATGATTTTTTTTAAGTTTATTTATTTTGAGAGAGAGAGAGAATGTACAAGCATGGGAGAGGCAAAGAAAGAGGGAGAGAGAGGATCCCAAGCAGGCTCCTCACTTTCAGCGGGGAGCCCGATGTGGGGCCTGAACTCCTGAACCCTGGGATCATGACCTGAGCCGAAACTAAGAGTCAGTCTATTAACCAACTGAGCCACCCAGGTACCTTGGAAGTAAAATGATTTCTTACATCTATTAATCCTCTCCTTGGAGTATGTACTGTTATCATAGCAGCACTGTCCAACATGAAGGTAATCTTATAATTTGCATTTGTGCTCACTCCCAGCTCCTATAAATACAAATATTCATGTGGTTAAAACATAATAATATGAAAAATTCCAAGCTTTCTGAATACTCCAGCTACAATTTCCTACAATGTCAACTTTCTACCCTACTGGCCACCACACCTTGCTCAACAACTAGCAAGTTTTTTAGTTTCATTTTACTAAGTCAGTAAATGAGTCCAAAGAAATTAAACTAGAAACAGACTACATCCCATTTTGTATTTCAGAAGAACATCACTTCTTTAAGTATTACAACCAAGGCAAAAGAAGGGGCGAAAAAGGATTGTAAATGGGGGATTAAAAAAAGGAGGAGCTGTGCTGTACTTTTTTTGAAAAAGACTTAATTGTTCAATACAATCCACTATTGAACAGACTTTAAACACACCTCTATTCCTTTTTTTTTCAATATATGAAATTTATTGTCAAATTGGTTTCCATACAACACCCAGTGCTCATCCCAAAAGGTGCCCTCCTCAATACCCATCACCCACCCTCCCCTCCCCCCCACCTCCCATCAACCCTCAGTTTGTTCTCACTTTTTAAGAGTCTCTTATGCTTTGGCTCTCTCCCACTCTAACCTCTTTTTTTTTTTTTTCTTCCCCTCCCCCATGGGTTTCTGTTAAGTTTCTCAGGATCCACATAGGAGTGAACACATATGGTATCTGTCTTTCTCTGTATGGCTTATTTCACTTAGCATAACACTCTCCAGTTCCATCCACGTTGCTACAAAGGGCCATATTTCATTCTTTCTCATTGCCACATAGTACTCCATTGAACACACCTCTATTCCTAATAATGGCATTTGTTTATCTACTAAATGCCCTCTGATGAGATGAAATCAATTCAACTTGGAACTTCTAAAAAGACAAATGCAATTTCAAAACATTCTTAAATGGATTGTCTAACACTTACTTTCATTTTAGCTTCAATCCACTTCATATTTGTTGCAGCTAAAATATGAAGAATGATAATATGATACAAATGAAAAGCTTGGACTTCATTTAAAATTTTTTTCTTCTATATAAGTAAGTTTTCTAAGCAAGATTAAAAGTTCAAATGCATCACAAATAAGAATTCCTAACATATTTATGGTAATTTTAAGTATTCTTAAAAATAAACTTACTTTTAGTGTGTCAACACAAAATAGAATTTTAACAACTCTTATCTAAAAGATACAGGTCACCAATGTTCAAAAGAATTTTGGATCTAGGTAATTCATAAATTAAAACCTAAACTCCTTTTTAAAAACAGCCCTAAAACTATTTTCTTATCAATGCAAACTTAAATATAGGGTGCCTGGATCTCCAATCTATTTCCACATTCCCACTGCCATGCAATGCATTGGTATCTATGTCAATATAAGCAAATCAGTGTTATGTGCCAAAAGTTGATGCCAAAGTTGACTGCTAGGCCTGATGAAAATTAGCATTTTGCCAGGAAACTTAGTGCTTATTCAGTATAGGCGCTTTTAACAATGAGTCTGAGACAACTAAATTAATAAATTCTATCTACGTATCTGCTCATTGTGAGACACCAACCAGTTTCTCAAGATCACTGATATTAAAATTCAACCCTGTTTTATATGCCTTCTGGTCCCAAGTTACTAGACTAAACTACATTTTAAACATTTTACCTAATTGTTTTTTAATTTTAAAAATTTTATTAAGTAAAATGCTTAAAAAGGAAACAAGTTTAATTATTTAAAGTGTGTATATGTGTATGTATGTATTTTTTAAAGGCAAAAGAGGTACCTGAGCTCTCAAAATAAAAATCTTTGCACACATATACAAAAACAGAAAGAATCACCTTACACACAAAACTGGTCAGTTGAACTAGAATTTGAGAGACTGATGTATCTACAATGACAACGATCACAAGATAGGGAAAAACAATTTTTTTTTAATTCAGTATCTATTTTGGGTCTATAATACCCAAATGAAAACAAAAATATTCATAGCTAATAAAAAGGGTTTCCAATTAAGTAATTACTATACGACAGACATACTGACACTTTTATTCTTGCAACTACCCTGTAATATAGGTTTACTTATCTTCATTTCTCAGACAAGGAACTTAAGGCTCAGAGAGATTAACTGACCTCCCCAGTGTCACAAAGTAAGGACCAAGTCAGAATTAAAACTCTATTTAGCTCTAAAGTAAAGTGCCTTTTTCAACATACGGCCACAAAAATATGATAATTTATAAAAATAACTTATTTTAAACCTATGACGGTAAAAAGTTCTCTAAATTTCTAAGTCTAGTTTAATAACATTTAGAGGAAAACCTTTTTTTCTCAAATGTCATCTTAGGTGTCAGTTGAACAAAAATATGTTCCCAGGAAGCTCTCTTCTCTGTACATTATAAGCCAAGAAATTATGTATTTAACTATGTATTTAACCTTAATGGCTATGAACTCATATTAATACTGAACAGAAATTAATAATTTCCTCTGATTAAAAGGAAAAGTACAAAGGAAACTTAAAGATTGAAGTAACAACTATGTGGTCACTCATCAAAAACCCAGTACAATTAAATGCAGCATCTTTAACTGATGAGATTTTATTTAATTCATAATCAGGATAGCTCATTTCTGCCTATGACTTGCCAAGAGGCAACGTTAAATGTTTGAGAGGTAAGATATAAATCAACACACTGCTTCCCTTAGCGATAAAGTCTTACCAGAAAAAAATGTCCATTGAACTAAACAGTGTGCTCAGTATGTAATAAATTTACTTTTTGGAGCAAACTGATCTTATTATGGACCTGTAAATTCCTGGAATAGGCCACCAACCACAATTTAAGCAATACTGCTTTAGTCCATCTATTAATTTCCCTAGTAAATTCACATTCCTTTACTTCTGAAAAACATCACTGTGATTTTTCTACACACATCTTTCTCCAACTGTTTTGAAACTACAGTGATAAAGGAGAAAGCAACAATATCTGGAGTCTTCAGAGATTCTACAGTAAAGATCAGAAAGAAAAGTTCTCATCAAGGTGAGGTCTTACGGAAATAAGATCATTTTTGTTCTGACAGCATCATCTACTCTCTTTCTACATTTAACTATTTCAATGGTAATGGTAAATGTAAGTTTAAATTGTGTTGCAAGAAAGTTAAATATGCTTCATTAGAAATTTGATAAAGCAAATGAAAAACGTATCATATTTAACCTGACGTCATGTTAAGTCACTTTATAAAGCAGAACAACTTACAGAACAACATTACTTCCATAGAAATCTAAACAAAAAATATAGCTTACACCAAATAACAATGTCATAATCCTCATATGCAGATGTGAGGAATTCGTGAAGATATGGCCGCATTAATTCTACTCCAGTCTCTGCACAAGACCTATGGTCTAAAAAAAAATCAGTCACAGACGATTATTAGTTCGTTATCATAGATAAGTACATGATATCAACGAAACTTATAAAATGTAATATAAACATTCAGATGCAAATTACATAAGACTGAATTACATTGGCTGATAAACAGGTCTTTCAAAGCACACAATTTAAAATCCTTGCAATCTAATTTTAATTAATCGACTTTAATTTGTGAAGAGCAATACCCAGAATTCAGGCTTATACAGTAAACTGTAAATTTATTTTTCACATAGCCTCTAAAATATAGATGTTATTTTGTGACATGGAAAGCAAACTAGAGCCACCTATACTCACTTTTAGCCATTCACCTTCCAGATAGAATCACATTTCTCCAAAATGACAGGCCCAATTAACTTAATTATCAAATTTTAAAATAAGTATACATTAACCTATGACCTGTACTTAAAGTTTAGGATGAGAGCTAAATAAATTCATGCTTGTATCAGGAGTTAACTAATCACTTCTTAGCAATATTTTTGGATGAAATAAACATCTTCTTTCTCTTTTTTTGACATGAGAAATTTAAATTCAAGAATCTGCCCTGAACATAATTAAATGAAAAACCAGGGATAAAATATCAAAAATAAGTTTTAAATAATCCTCATAAAAATTTAAATGTTAATCAACAAGGAATACCTTGGTTAAATTATGATGCATCCATTAACTACAGTACTGTGTGACTAAAAACTATATACATTTAATTCACAATGAGTATATTGAATGACTGCGATATTCAATATATCATCAAGTAAAAGTAAAAAGGATATACATACAAACACACCCTGGAAGATACACACCAAATATAAGAATAGTTATCTTTGGGTTTTGGGGTTACAGGTAACTTCTAAATTTTCTATAATGAATGATTTACTTTTTATAATAAGAAAAGCTTTCAAATATTTCATACTGGAAGAAAAAAGTAAACAAAAGGAAAAAAAGAGTTGTTATGGGTAACAGAAGATGAAGCACAATTTCAGCTGACTTACCAAATAACGTATAATCAACATCTAGTACCAAAAGCTTTTTCCCTTCCCTGGGAGGATTCAAAATCTCCACTTTGTACTCCTTCACTCTGCGGGAAATTTTCAATAGGTTTTCTTCCCTAGTAGGAAAATAAAATCAGATGAAACATTCACCTTTTTTTTTTTTTTTTTCACATTATAACCCATTTCCTTTGATAGTGAAAAGCACTTACCTATTTTCTACTTCAACTACTTCATCTTCAATATCAAAGTCGTTGACAACATCATCATTGTCTGGAGGTGGACCTAAGACATCTTCCTATTAAGATGAAAAAATGGTTTTGTTTTACCAGATTATCTTTAACATAACAAATGCATGCATAGCATAAAAAGCAAATAAAAGATACAATCTGAGTTCAAGAATCTTTCAAAGATAGACTGTGAGAAAATTTCCACATTTTATACTTCATTATATATGTTCACTGGACAGATTTACCCATGTTAAATTTGACCATTTGCACTACACTTACAGCTAACTATATACTAACAAGTTCCCTAATATTTGTTTTCTGCTGAGTTAATACCACATACATTGGGAAGCTTTAATTTTTCACTGACTGTTAAACTGACAATTTTACCACAATTAAAATTATGATATAACAGTGTAATATAAATCATAATATCTTCAAAGGGACAAATGGTAACAAAAGTAAACATTTACCAAGCTCTCCTCACGAGTTCCCATCATCATGATTTTAGTATTTGGTTTCAGTTTGAGAGCTCCAAGCTTAACATCATTTTCTGCAGGTTTGCCTACAATACAAGCAAATGACTGTTTTCTCACTAAAGTTCAGGTGCTGGTTTCACTATCCCATTATATAAAACCCTAACATTAAAAGGTTTGGTACAGATTCCACAGCAGTTTCTTTTTTCTTAAATTAACAAACTGTCACTGCTGAATTAGCAATGTCTAACACACTAAGAAGTAACAACTAACACAAGATTTTTTTTCCCCAACTCCATCTAAGAGGAACACTTTTATCCAGCTAGCTAAATGAAACAAATTCATGTTATATTTTGCCATTCAAAATGAAGATGTTTTCCAAAAGGTCTTGAGCATTGAGCACCTAAGATAAAACTAAAGATTTACTGCTACCCAAAATTCACCTTTCCATGATATGATAAACACAAACACTTTCAAGCTGTATATGAACACTGCCTATAATTTTTAAATCATCATTATTTTTGAAGCAGCAAAGATAACTTAGGGAGAGTAGAAGAACCAAACTGTAATGAAAAAGCTGTGCTAGAACAAAGATGTCAGAAATTACGCTGTTTTACCTGAGGCTTCTGTGCCAAAGGTTTAACAAGCAAACACCAACTGGCAGAAGAATCAAAAGTAATCTTAATAGTGATGGTATTTTCAAGTAACTTTTAAAATTCACACTTTTACTATAAAACAATTTTAGGAATATCCTTATCAAAGAAATCTCCAAGGGGAAAGACTTACTAAAGAGAAAAGATAATAGCTAATATAAAAAAATCACAAACATATGAATGCAAGAAGTTTAAAGCGAAGAGAGAATTACCTTTAACTTTGAGTCCAAGTAACTTTTGGCGTTCTGGTAGCACTCCTGTAAGGGTCTTAAGAAATTGCTTGAGATCTAGCACAGTATCATCTTCTGAAAGTGTGGTCACTGAATATTCCTGTCCACCCCATTTTACAATGATAGGGAGAGCCATCCTTGAAACATATGATCAAGCAGCTTTTACTCAGAAAAAGATTCCTAAAAAGAGAGAGATATACAAGTAATTAAGTTAAAATAGATACATCAAAGATGTAGCCAAACTTGTAACTAAATTTTAGGAGCAATGTACTTTGAGTCTTTCTTTACAACTTGATGGTGGAGAAACAAGATTTTCTCCTTACAGAAATGCTACCAGAACACCAAAAGTTATTAGGATTCAAAGTTAAAATTCCCCTACCCTCCCAATTTTTGGCTTAAGTTACTACTTCATAACACTCAGATTCTGCCTGTCCAACCGTTAAGCTGCAATGATAAGCTACCTATACCTTCCTCTTTGACCAGGTTTATGCTACAGGCAAGTTTCTCCATGATGGACCATTCATATTTATTTAACCTTTGAGAAGTGGTACAGAGAGTTGTTAAAAGGGCAAACTCTAGAGTACCTGGCTTCAGATCCCAGCTTTCCCACTTACTAGCTATTTGACTTTGGGAAGTTACCAGACTCTTAGTGTCTAGGTTTACAGACTCTTAGTGTCTAGATAATACTACCTACTGTGGGGTTCTTATGAGAGTTAAATTAGCTAATATTTATAAGTCACATAGACCTGGCACATAGTAAGCCCTACACAAATTAAGCACTGGCTAAATAAATTTTCTTAAAAACTGGAACTGAAGTATTCCAGGCACTGTGCTAAATAGCAAACAGCCATTATTTGTTTCATATTTAGTAAGTTGTACAGTTTTCATGCAATGTCATTTAACAAGGTTGATAAGAATTGTCCCTCTTTTACAATTAAGGAAATGAGAGTTCGGAGAGTAATCTTCGGAGAAGATACTTCGGAGAAGTATGTAATCTTTTCATGGGCACATAGGTGGGAACACAACAGGTCTTCTGACTAAATTTCATGTTTCTTCTCCTACATCACAACTGTGTCTCTTGAAAGATCAGTAAATACAAAACCCACAGACACAGATATAAGCACACAAAATTATACAGCAGCTACTATTCTTATCAACCATTAACATGTAGGTCTCTTCCCTCTAAAAGCTTTCTACCAGTTTTCCTAGGTGCATTTCCCTCACAGGTCAGAGAACGGAATTTCCTAATTTCAAAAGTATTGGTCTTTACAAATGCTATCACTTATTTAATGAAATATTTGCTTGCATTCTTCCTGAATTATGACCAACAGCAAGGCAGCAAACTGAATCATGTGAAAATAATTTAGAAACTTAAACTGTCTTCACCATGTCCACTAGAAGATAGCACCATAAATTCACTTAATACTTACTCTCTTATGTTTACAACCTACACTACTGAAATTTAAATAAAGTGTGTTAATTTAGGGCAATGTAATCCATTTTAGAGATAACTTGCTAGCAAATGTTATGATCGTCAATAAAGCGCCAAACAGACCTCTTGAACCAAACTAAAATATGGTTTAAATACTATTTTTCTGTGAAGGTGGGAATAAAAATGAAAATTCACAAGAGCTAGGAATGCAACCAGTACTAACAGTTTATGTTGTGTTGAGGGGAGCACAGAGTTTGGAGTGAGGTCACCTGAGCTCCAGATGAGTTTAGACAAGTCACCTCTAGACCAGCATTCTGAAAGTGTGGTCTCAGACCAATGACAGCATGACCCTACTTGGTAACTTGTTAACAACATAATTGGGGCTGGAGAGAAAGGACCTAGAGCAATTTGTGTTTTAACAGTCCCTGTCCCAGCCTCCCCCAACCCCACCATTTCTGAGGCATACTAAAAGTTTGAGAGCCAATACTCTAGACTCCTCAATTTTCTCGGCTAAGAAAGAAAATACGCTGAATGGCATGGGCTCTTATGCTTAATAAAGTAGTATACAAATGTTATACATCACCTATACCACTAGTGGGAATTCCAAGTTAGCAAGTGCTTTAAAGGACCAAGCATAACAAAACAAATACCATTAATATTTTTAAATTCATAGCCCTAAAACTACTTTTCAACTTCCTTTCTTCAATAGTGAGATCATTCACAAAGGAACAACACAATGCAAACGCATGAGTCATTTTGTTTTCACATTTAACCTTTCACCCACAATTCTAATACAGGAAAACCTTGGATTCTGAGTAACTTGTTGTGTGAGTGTTCTCCACGATGTGCAAATTTTCCTAATAAACTTTAACTTGATAAACGAATGATGTCCTGCAATAGTAGTATGTGACGCTACATGATCACATTTAAATGATCCCATGATCACAACTAAGCCAATGGTTCTTGAAATTTGCTTTGATATACGAGTACTTTAGATTACAAGCATGTTTCCAGAACGAATTATGCTCCCAAACCAAGGTTTTACTGTACTTTGTATCTTTCTAGGCCCTATCAGATTTATAAACTGAAAAAGGATTTGGGAGGGGGGGGGTCAATTAAACCCAAACAAGTAAGTAAGGTTCACACCTTTAGGGTGAACCTAGAGTCAGGAAGAGCTGTTTGGGTTAGCTCTTCTGCCTAACATACTGTACTGACTTGCCTAGTCAGTTCCAAAATTCCTGACCCCAATGAGGTAATTAAGATCTACTTAGCAAGAACAGTGCTAAGGATGAGATAACACCCTGACGGCACTTTGTAAACTGTAGAGAGGAAGACAAATGGTGGAGATAACAGAACAAGGCCAGCACGCTAAACAACTTAATTATATCACTTAATCTTCACAATCCTGAACAACTATTGTCTTCATCATAGAGATTCAAAAACTGAAAAAGAAAGAAAACAACTTGTCCAAGACCACACAACTAACATGTGGCAAAGGTGGAATTTTGAAACTAACAGCAGCAGAAGTTAACACCTTGGGAATTGGGAGTAGGTTAACTTTTCAACAAGCCTACAGCACAGCAGCAGCAACTGCGTGGTAGTGCAGAGGCAGCAGCCCTGGGACAACATACAAGCATAGTCCATACTCAAAAACCCCGGAGGCCGGGATGCCTTCAATAGGAAGGAGGAGGAGAGATGGACAAATCCCGGAGGAGGGAGGAATGAAGTTTGGGGACGCAAAACCCACTGGGGGACGGGAAGCCCACGACATAGACAAGGCCGGATGGGAGGGCGGCAGCCCCTGCGACGAGCGGGCCGGGGCCGGAGGCCTGGGCCGCAGACTAGGGCAGACGCGGCCCAGGGCGCCCACAAGCAGCCTCCAGCCCTCCAGGGCCGACCGCAGGGGAGGCCCGCCGCGCCAACAGCAGGGCTGAGCTTCGCCCCCTCGGCCCCAACGGCCTCTCAGTGGGCAACGCACCGAGGTGCCCCGCGTCCCTCACCTGGAGCGCGGCGGAACCGGCAGCAGTGGACGCAAGAACCGGCCGCGGCGGAACAGAGGGTGACCGGAAGTGAAGACGGACCGGAACCGGCTAACGAACCGGAAGTTCAAGTTTGAAACGGAAACGCGCCGGAGACCAGACGGCTGCTTCTCGTGTTTGTCTTTGGTGAGGCTAACCCTATATAGCTGCTATCAGGGATCTCCTCACCTGGCGACGGAGCCAGGCCTTTCCGAGACAGTTACCCCCTGTTCAGATACCTACGATCCTTGGATGGCTGCCCGCCCTCCCCCGTTCTGCGCATGCGCCCTCTAGTGGGCGCAGAGCTGGCGGGTGCTTCAGGGATTTGACGTCTTTGGTATTGTTTCGCCGAAGTCGGAGGTGGGTCAGTGGTGTTGCGCTGGCTTCCCGGGGGGTGCTGAGACCTTCGTAGGACTCTGCCGTAGGACTCGTGTGGCTGTGTCATGTTCCGGATGAGGGCTAAAAGGTGACCTTTGATGACTGAAGACTTTAGACTCCCTCCTTGGCATCAGGGGCTACCTGCACTAGTGATTTTAGGAGCCTAAACTTATACCCATTTTATCCAGTGTAAGGGTAAATTGAGGACCGTCAGGAATGGGAAGGGGCAAGCCTAAATCGCTCAGAAAACCAAGGCAGCGAATCTCAGTATGAGAGCTGCCATCGAGGTTACTCCAGTATAGAATTTTGCCTCCACCTGCCCATCCCCGCCCCCACTCCATTTTTCCCTCTGAATGCGAGGTAAGCCATTTACAAACCCTGACAAAAGAACTGTAGATTTTAATGGAAATTCAGAGCAGTTCCAATCTGATTCATACAATGAACTCCCAACGTGCATCACTTGATGTCAGACAGGAGGAAACAAAAAAATAAATTGCCACTAGATTGTTGTATATGGCGCCAAGCAAAACTTAAAATTTTGAAAAGGAAGGGAAAATGAGCATATTGGCCTCACATAAGCACCAGTCTTTGAATTATGTATTTTTTTTCCTTCTAATTGGCAGTGATGTAACTGATTCAGGTTTCCCTTTTGGCTGTGACCAAGAGAAGCAAAGAACCAAGTTTTGTGTCCTAACAATTTTTTAGTTAAGGCAAACACTATTTTATGTTCTCCTTACCTCTCTCTTTTGGTAATTTTTATTGCACTAGTAATGCATGAAAAGTCTCTCATTTTAAAAAATGAAACATTTTCAATAAAAGGAAAAAACTATATACCCTCTTTCTTTAAAAAAAAAAAGGGGGGGGCGGGGAGAGAGAGAGGAAAGGAAAACCCAAAATTAAAAGAATTTGTACAAGAATCACACATTAACAGTCCAGCCAAAGAGATGGTCAAAAACCAGGGATTGAACTCTAGAATGAATTACAGTTTTCTTTCAACCCAGTCTGTACCTTGTTCATGTGCTAACCAGTTGCTTGGCCACTTTGTATTTTTTTGCTGTTATTAGAGAAGCTTGTTTTTGTTCATCATAAATGTCAACTAAAGCATTTTAAAGTTTAATTCTAAGCAACAGGAATCATAAAGAGATTCTTCTTTTTAATAGTAAAATAGCCATTAAATGAAAGGTCTGATAAGTTTGGTGTTCCCCGAGTGTGGATAATTTAATAATTCCTAATTGTTGAACAGTGGATTTCTCAGAGAATAATGGTAGCAAACTATTTTGGACAGAGTCCATCTAACAGATGATTTGCCCATATGTCAG